TAACGAATTGCTCGCATACTCGCGTAAGAAATGCCCTCGTCATCGGCTATCAACGAGTTTAGTTGCTAGAAACGACTTTAGTACCCGTTGGAATGCACGTACGATCATCACCAAATCATTCTTTGTTCGTGTCCGGGTCTGTAAAATATAAAAACTTTCTCGAGTGCCGAGTGTCGGTATTTTTATTGCACTACGCGATTGAAATTGAATGGCAGAACGAAAACACGAAAACATCCGGGGAATTATCGAAAAATACATGTAATATAACGACTGACAAGTTATTTACCGCTACATTGCATATATTCAGTTTTAGATGCTAGAGACTCGACACCACTAAAATGCACGAGACAAAAAATTATTTTTCAATAAATATAACTACACTGAGAAAAATGTCTGATTAAATATAATCAGATAATTCAATTACATAATAATAGGTGTATATTTCCGATTAAATTGTATATCCGATTAAAAAATATAATCGGTTTTTCAATCAAATTTTATCGGATAAATTTCATCGGCTATATCCATAATTTAATCGGAAAATGTAATTGAAAAAATTAACCATCGAAAACACTATTTAATCGGTTTATCCGATGGAAATTTTTCTTAGTGGAGAACTATTATTTGTGTAGAATTATATTAATTATATTTAGCATACATTAGAAAAAAAATAGGTAAATCTTAAGAATAATCGTGAAATCAATTTCTTTCCGAGAGAAACTCTTGACTGGCCATAAATTATCTCTCTTTATACGCTTTCGATCTGACACTCCGTAAACATTTCCATTCGCATGCCGGACATCATTAATTAATATGCACGCGAATTAAACGCCGTTCTCATAAAAAATCTCATTAATTCCTCATTCGAGCCACGCTCGATAGCACGAATAACGTCGCAGAGAACGGCGGGGAGTGAAAATGTGACGGAATAGCGTGGACGAAGAACGGTCGGAGCTGAGTCTCGAAAAAGTCTCGTCGATCTCTTCTCTCGCGGCAGATGAGTTCGACATTATTAGGCTGTATCTCATAACGCTCTTCATTTATAGAAACACGTATTTTCGCGAGATAACGCGCTCGTGATCCTTCGTGGCGTTACGACGGATCGCATAAAATGTCGCCTCGCGTCCGTTAATTCTCTTTCGGCGACCTCGAGCAGCATCGTGTCCGGCAGACAGGAACTTTGGATACGCTATATTTTATTTCGCTCCTCCCCCCCCCCCCTCGTCCCGAATCACTGAATTTACAGCTGGATTACCGCGTTTGCGTTCGTACGCGCCGCGCGGCATTAAACGTGATATACTCGCCTTTACACGCCTTTTATTTTCCTCCTCGGCTAAAGCGTTGCAGGTTTTGTTTAGCAAACGAGCGCACGCAACTTGGTCGGAGGAAACTGAAGATTCAATTTTTTTCATTCGAGTGTGCTTCCGCGAGATCACCGGAAAGTTGAATTACAACGTATTTTTGTCGTTTTTCCTTTTAATAATTCAACATATAGTTTGTTGAATACACAAAAGTGTAGATTTTGGTCAGCGGTTTTCCCCTCGGTTTCACTTATCCATTTGTTTCATTCGTTCGTTAACGAGATGATTCGACAAGGCTTTTCCAATTAACGTCTTGGTGCACGATCGTTCACCAGCGTGTCGCGGCCTTTTATTAGCGCAAAATAACGCCGGGACCGATTTCGCGGTTATAGCTGGAATAGGCCATAGAAGATAAGCACCCTAATTTAGTGATGTTACCGCGATCGGTTGCAATCGAGCGCCCTTGCAGCTCTTAACAGGGACGCTTCCACGTGCTTGCGCACCGCGCGTCGCGAGATAGGCCTCCGATATCTCGGCGGGCACGTGGAAAGTACTTATTGTCATTTCGTTGTCGCATAAATCGTACACCGGGCGGTCTCTTCCCCCGTCAGGTCGGCATTTGGTCCGCGGTCGCTTGATAACGATTATCGGTGCTCTGCGTTGAAAATATTCCGCGTCTCCGCACCGAGAGCGTATCGCCGATAAACGGCGATACCGAGCCGTTAATCCGACCCCGGGCTGTCAATACCCGTGAAAATCGCGTTTTCCGCCGCCGTCGCCGTCGTCGTCGCCGTCGTCGGCGAGATCATTGCACGCGCGCGCGACGAGGTACGTCGTAAACGGGCACAGGCAGACGATGGGCGCTTCCTGCCGCTGTCTGACATTTACCTCGTTGTTAACGCATCGACTTTCGTTGATTGGAAAGGCTGATAAATACGGTCGCGCGAAAGACATTCAATCTCCCTACGGTCGTTACGCGCGGTTTTATTTATGGCGTCGATTTCAGTGCCCCGGCGGGAAGCGTGGAACTTTTTGGAATGCTAACGGGCGCGCTCGCAGGAAACTGTATTTTACACCTGCATCGGGGCATGTTCATAAATTGAGTCGTTTAAAGTCGCTTATACCTTCGCCGCGCGACGCGGACACGTCGTGTCAAATTGTATCTGCTCTTTCTCTAAATTCTTAGCGTTTCTCCCCCTCCCCCGCCCCTTTCCAGCCGCGCGGATACGTGTCGCTCCCGGCACCGAGCTGCTCGAGTAACTCGAATTCGTTTTTTCTCACCGGAAACGGATAATTTACGACGCGTTTACGGTGCGCGTCTCTTACGGTAAAAATTGATCTAGACCCGCACGCGCGGTCGCGTTTATTCCGTTTAAGAAACAACCAGGCGGAAGAGGAGTTCCGTACGTCTATACGCGCGTGTTTCGCGCAAATTTGTTCTGTTCTCGAAGATGCTTGAGAATTGTCCCGGCGCGGACTGAGATATACGGCGTTTCGCGGCCGCACGCTCGCTGCGCCATAAAGCATCCCGTCGCCCCTGTTATCGCCGCCTGAAAATAGAAGGCGCGAAAGAAACGGTCTGGAACAAGCGCCGCGTGTTCCCGCGAGGCGACGGCACGTAAACGATTGGGAAGTCGATTCTCGTATTTGCGCGTCTTATTCACGCAGAGCAGACATAATCCCGGCGTGCCTGCGTAACGGTAAAAACAGATCGGCGTGCATTCACTTTTCCTGCGCTGTGTGTACGCACACTCGCGTGGCGCATTATCCGGCCGCGTATGAGGCACGCACTTTGCGGCGCACGCCTTTTAAGGATATATGCGAACGGTAACGTGTCAGTGCCTAGTAACAAGCCGAAACATATTGTGTTTCTCTCGAAACCCCGAGAAGTACAAACGGCGTATCACGCAACGCAATTGCGTACGTTTAATTATCCTTTCGCGTATGCTTTTGTACGCGGAAGCCTCGGTTAAAAGCGAGATATAAAAGTAATTGAAGAGCGGAAATGGGGGACGTGCGTACGCGTGTGCGAGAGTGTCAGATGAGCGCACTGTTCTCATTTTTTTTTCTCTACCACGCAGATTGTGCAATGAGACGCATGCAAATGACAGGTTGCTTGATCATCTATTATCTCTACTATAAAATATATTAAATATCTAAGGGGAGGTGTTCCACTCTCTTGGTATATTAACTAATAGTTAAACCGTATAGGTGTCTTTGTGTTTCTTTTAAATTAGAAAAAAGATAGACATATAGTTTAACTATTAGTTAGCTTACCAAGAGAGGTTGGAAAAACCGGCTCAGGATAAAATAAAATAAAATTTAAACAGTAAAATAACGAGTGAAATATTTGACTCTTCATTTCGAAGTCTTTCGTGTACGCGGAAGTTTATCCTGAAAATCGTGTAATCGTGGAACAACATGGCATTTTGAACAACTTTATGAGACAATGAGACAAATAGAAACGAGAACGCCAAATCATTACTTTCTATTCGATTTTTATCTTATATGTCCCGATTTAACTTTACAACTTTCTGAGAGTTTTCTGAAATATTACTGTACTCTCTAAAAGTCGATCGGTGCATTATCACTGTGAAAACAGTTATAAGTATAGCACTGAATTATTCTTAACTTAACTGTTGCGATAAATATCACCACATGCCTCGGTGGTCGAATTGGCGAGACGCCCGTCTAGTAAGAAGGTCCAGGCGCAAACCCTGACTGAGGTAAATTTTTCGCAATAAATTAAAAAATTAAAATCATTCAGACACTAACATCCGTCTTGGCTCTTATATCCTTCATTACTTCGTATCTTATAACTGTGAATCAGTGAATATTGACTGTTTTCACCCGTGTACACGAGATTAAATGAATCTTTAGTTACAGGGAAGGTCTCTGAATTACAGTATAATTTCGCTATACGATCCGCGTCCAAGATTCGCTGTCGGTTTACACACGTTCCCGCGGATCATCATGTTCGTCCGACGGACACGTTTCAGCTGCACAGATCGTCCTCATCTTCCTCTCCCCCCCGTATTCATTCGCGTTACTATCACAGTAAACTCGACGATTAATTGGACGTTCGTTCGGCGGTCGAGTAAGTTGATAAAATCGGCAATCGATTTGCGCGGCACGTGTATTGTGGCCATAGCACGTCACTGAACGAGGAGATAGCAGCGTATATCCCGTGATTTTTCCATCACGAGCGTGCCCCAGGAGGATAGGAAACAACTTTCACTTGATAATAATACCCGACTTATTCTTTTCCGCGTGTCACGCTGCGTCACCGTGCGTTACAAGAGTGCGTTCGGAGTTCTCTCCCTAATTATTCATAATCGTACGACTCGCAGATGGGAGCGTTTCTAGGGGCACTTTAGAGGCGCTCGAAGCAGATGCGGCAACATTCTGAGAAATTCCTGAGGAAACTCGCGCGGGCCTAAATTGCCTCGGGGGACGATGCGTCCGGCGTACTCGCGCGCGGCCGACTAAGTGGCGTCTATTAAGATTAGAAACTGGGTTAATATTGCTCCCTGGGATGAGCCGCGTACTTAAGTGAAAGCCCTGGCGGCTCGAGTTAATTCATCGCCGCGTTGCGCAAACGTTATTGCTAATTTCTCCGCGCGGCCACTTAAGCGCGCTTGCCACACTATGTGTACGCGCGTGGAAAACGATTAATTTCATCTTCCCGTCTGTTGGCAGAGACTGATCCGATGCTCCCGAGAACGAGGGACAGGTGACGAGCAAAATCCAGACGAGCGTCCCGAGGTATCTTTCCCGAACTCCGTCAAGAGGCTTCAGTCGGAAGCGCGAGGACGAAACGATGTTGAGTCTACAGCGAAGGCACTCCCGGTGGAGAATGTTCTCCGTCTTACTATTTCTCGGACTGATCTGCAACGGCGAGCTGGCGCCCATACGTGTACCTGAAGAGACGTCGTCGGCATCGACACCCAAGAAGAAGAGCATTGGTTCTCTGATCAGTGGCGATCACTGGCAAGCGTGGATCCTGGTGGACACGGAGAACGGCTTCCAACTCGGCTCGGACTCCGCCACTCTTTTCCGAAGGATAACGCCGAAGAGCGTGTTCATCGCGCCGAACTTACCCGCCTGCGCGGAGGGTTATCAGGCGGACAAGATGGGCAGGTGCGTGAAGAGCATAAGCATTAACGAGACCGCGCACAACGACTTTATCCTGGAACGGCTGAAACTTATGTTCGGTAATTTCCCAGCCACCAAGAACGAACAGAAAAAGTCAACCGGTCCCCTGCAGCTTAATATCCCTCTGGTGTCCAACGTTAATCGTCAGTCGACAGACGTCGAGCTCGACGAAACCTTCTCGACAAAGGTTTCGCCGACCGCGCCGCCGACTCGTAACAAAACCTACTTCGCGGGACACGAAGAGAAGACGCAGCTGCACGAGATAAATCTGTACGAGGTGAAGAACGACACGACCCTGGACGAGGAGGAGTCGACATTTCTCCTTGGCAATTCCAATGTCGATGACGCTGAGAAGGTCGATCGGAAACTTCCAGCGACAGTTCCGATCGCGGAATTGACCGAGGAGACGGACGATACGAATTTCTCGGAAGTAGTGGACTACAAGATTCCAACGGACCCGAAGATACTGCGTAACTCCTTGAGCATGAAACGAGTCAACGTGAGTGACGTTACAGAAGAGAGCGTTACGATGGTGGAGAAGCGGGAGAACTCCACTAAAACGCCCGCGCTGGTGCTGCTGATCTCGCCGACAAAATTTACAAACGTGGTAGACGCTCTGTTGGCACAAAACGACACCGTCGAGCAAACCGCGCCGATGTCCAACTTCACCTTGAACACTACCACGAAGGAGAACATCACCTTCGGAGCACCGGACCCCACCGCGCTTCCACCCGCGAAACAACTGACGTCAGTCTCGCTGGATGAGCAACGAGATAACGAGACGTTCGCGGAGGACGAGTTGACGCCGGAGCCGACTTTCAGGCCGAACGAGTCGCAGGAAGCGGACGACTTCACCTACGACGAGGAAGAGGACGACGCGCTTGATCGATACACGACGGACGTGCCGGACGATGAAGACTCGACCGAAGGCGAGGAGATCCTGAGGCACGGTGAGGCCGGTCCGGTTATTACCGGATTACTACCCTTAACGATGGCCGGTCCGGTTGTTACCGGACGAATATCCTTAACGACTCCCACGCGAGACGATCGCCATCACCATCAAGAGCAACGAAATCGAACCGCAGATCTTCTAGAGAAAAAGATCGATGAGGAGGATCATGCCATGAATCGGTTTAACGATTCCGCGCCTATGGAGGACAAAGACGAGGCGGGGAGTAATGTCTCCAGCGAAGTCAGCATTGACGGTGGCACCATTAGGGAAACAACGCTGCTGGATATGAACACCGAGAGACTGCAAGTCACTACGCAGTCGCCAGACGTGACGGAAAAAGTCGTGACGAACAGCGAGGACGATTCCACAGAATCGCTCGGCAAGAATCCCGATATCGTACCGGAAGTCGTGTTCTCCCAAGACGCTCACAGCGCAGCGTCCACCAATTCGCGCGGACGCGAGCGAGCCGAGCAGCTCTCTACGAGGGTCAAGAATGAAAGGAACGAGGAACTGGAAGCTGCGCCCTCCTCGTCCGAGTCGCTGTCGTATTCGCCGGAGGAAGACCCGACAACTGAGACTCACGCGATCAACGAGAGACAATCGAGCGTCAAAGAGAGTGAGCTGCAAAAAAGCTCGAAAAACTTTCATTCAAACGTTCCAGAGACCAAACGGACTACGACGAACCTCCACTCGACTGAGGGTTCAGTGAGATTTCCCAACTACGTGAGGCACGCACAGCCAAGTAGTTACGTGAGGTTCCTGTCCAGCGAAGTCAACAGCATACACAGTCTGAATTACAAGAAGAACTCGCGTCCCACAGACAACGTCAGCCATTACGGCGGCACCAGCACCAAGAGCAGCGTACCCGTCCGTCAGAAACCAGTTTACCATCCGACGGCGTCAAGCTGGAAGCCGAATCGAACGCAACCCGATCACAGCCAGACGACGACCAGCGAGAGGCAGAATCTTTGGCGTTTCTGGAATCAGATGCCGCTGATCAGGGATTCGGCTATCTATCCTTCCTATCAGAACGACGAGACGACCGACGACGATGACGATGACGACGACGACGACGACGACGACGACGATAACGATGACGACGACCAGAAGTGGTTCCACGACCGAGTTTTCCGGGGGCGATCGTCGCGGAGATTAAGCACCTCTGCGGAGACGTCGCTGGGGAACAGGGTGCGAACACCGAAGCAAAGGACGCCAGTCGGCGTGTAATTGTCTTCACGGCACTTTTCTTTTTGAGAGAAAGGTCTAATGGACTCTGTTTGGAACTGTGTCAAATGTGACTCGAAAAGAATCTGAAATTACGTCACGGTGGTTTTCGCGGATCGTTCGCCGCGATTGTTCGCTACCGTATGAGGACTTTGAAGAAATAAGATCGACGAGGGGGTCTGTTGACGGAAGATATATTCCGCGGCAATCCGTTGGAGAAGTTGAAGAGTCGGTACCACGTGTATCGCGCCTAGTATTTTTTTGCTCAGCGAATATGTTGCGAATCGTTGAACGATCTCAGGAGGAGTGATCTGAAATCTAAGTATCTTCCCCGGTACTGCCTTCCCGATTCTTGTGTGAGAAGAAAAATTGGACTCGGCAGAGGGAAATTTAAAAGCGTACTTAGACATTTACGTATTAGGTTTGCGTCACATCGTGTTGGCGATTAAACTCGTAATCGGGAAAATCTCTTAGTGGAAAATCTCACGAAGAATGCGTCTTGATATCTATGCTACGCAGTTAATAGTGATAAGCATTGGATAAAGAAATTAGCAACGGAAGTAGCAAGTAGGTGGCGCAAAACATTTGCGCGATCGACGACGAATTTTGCAGCGTTAATGAGACGTGCGGCTTTCTACGGAAAGTTCAAACTGCATCGTGCATTTCAAAATAAAGTCACCGATGAGTCGCTAAGCGTCTTTTGCAAACTCGTTGTATCTGGCGAAATATTAAATTACATTTTTAAAAATGCCTGGTTCTTTCGAACGATAAAGTCGATCAACGGGATCGATTTGTTCGTACTGATATTAATTAGGCTAATATTTACGAAACAAACAAGCGAAAGTTGAGATTTTCTACGGTACCAGAATACGCTAAAGTAGAAGAAACACTGCCCGAAATAACTTTAAAATTTTTTTACGAATAATTTTTTTACATTTTTTCGACTGTAGAAATTTAATGATCCGCATTTTCGTCACGTATTTGATTTCACGTACGATGTCCGGATCTTTATATTTTTAACTATCAATGTAATTTTAATAATATAATTCTGTAATTAAATTTTATCAATAACGACTCCATTTAATTTGGTAATTCTATTTTAATATGAAAGAACGATTTAGTAAAACAATGACAAAACAATCGTATTGAATACTAAATACGCGACGAGAATGCGGAAAAGTGCGAGTAGATTTTTAATATTAAATATATCGCTGATTAGGCTATCGCATGATGAAATAGTCATTGATTCAGCCAAGTGTCGTGCGAGAGATCGTTGATGAATCTTTATTCTCTGTACAGCAGAGAAATAGTTATTAGACTCGTCAGTGTTAACACTAATTTTTCGAGGTAAGAGTATATGAACGGCGTTTACGAGCTCGCGAGCGATATGTCGAGCTCATTTACTAACGGAAGTGTTATTGAAGCACAGACTGATCTTTATAGTTATTATAGAGTAGTCGATTATTTGGTCGTACGAAATTTTGAGAATCGTGTTGCTCTCTTCAGTAAAAAAAAAGAAGATACATCGTGCAGCATCAATTTCACGCTCGTCGTTGTAGGATTTTACAGAGAAGGATGTGCGAATCACTTCGGTTACACGACCTTTTATACATTCTTAAATAACTCGATTTTATAAACGACAAGCGCAAACGTTAGACATCCTTTTGCAGATTAATCACGAATTACACCTACATTAGCCAGCCCACAGCGTAGAATAAGTGTTTTCGGTGTGACTTAATCGATCGTTGTTTCGACAGTTTCAAAAGTGATTTCGCTCGGTACAGCCGAGAAATTGGAAGTCAAAAAGTCCCGATGAACCGCCGTGTTCACCTTGCCTTTATCCACAAGGCAAGATAATTGCATTTTGACTGCATTATCGTCACCGCTATAATAAACGCTCCGGCTGCAATGGGACACGCAAGAATATTTAAAGCTATTATTTATTAACATTAATAATATACTTGTATAACATAGAATACTCGTTGATTCTGATCAATGCGCAAGTTATTTTTTTATTAGATCCAGACGTACATCAGGCAATTAATTTAGAATCATTTGCTTATCTTATCAGACTCCCGAAAATATTTTGGCTTTCTTTTCCTTATGATCAAAGAGTTTGAAAAACATAGGAAATATAATACTTATAATAGATGTAGACATAATTAAGCGGCATTCTATTCAAATAATATTTATGCTATCAGTACTTGTATAATAAAATTCTCTCGGAATTGGTTTCTTCGATTTCAATCAGTTGCGTACAATCTGTAAAGCCTAATCCACAACGCGCTTTTCGCGACTGGAAATATTCCATCTTGTACAAGCAGATCAATACGTTTAAAAAATGTATCGGCAACGTACGATTGTACAATGTACAATGTACAATTTACCAACTTGCAGAGATTTTTTAAACGTATTTATCGGCTTCGAAATAGAACGTTTCTAGAGCACATTGTAGATCAGGCTTTACCGAAAAGCCGCAGCTTTTATTGTAGCGGATTCTGAAGCATCGAGACATTTCGAGTTCTTTTGTTACTCCCGCGCGTGTTCCCTGCTACGAACGCGATAATAAAACCGAAAGATTTTACGATACTTGACATTGTGCGGCCAGTAAGTCTTACTGATCTACATGCGTTTCAATGTGGTGTGTAATGTCTCTCGTACTATTGAATGTCGATTCGTGTACATATTAATTTTATCATTGAGAAATGTATATACACATAGAGGCATAATGTAGGCATAATATAAATAAATAAGCGTTAACAGCAGAGCACAGTCCCCGATTGCGTATTAATCGTGCATTAAATCTTATTGTATTATTTATAGCGAAATATATCGATGTATATTGCATTTGTCGTGTTGTGCAAGGCCGCCTGTTAGATAACGGAGTGAAAGGAGTTATGAAAAAGGAAAAGAAAGAAAGAATCGCATACGACGCCCGTATGATACCAAATTATCGTGCTCTTTTATTTGTACAAACCCGCCCACGCACATCCTCGTATCTTACAATTTAAGTCTTATCGTTAACCTACGAACTAGTCAACCGCAGTCAGCTCGTCTTGAGACCCTTGAAACCTCTAGCCAGAAAGAATTTCTCAGTCGACTCGTCCCTCGTCGCGTCAGGCCTGACTACTCTGACACTGCTGTAGAACTTGGACAGATTCTCCTCGAACTGCGGCGCCTTACCGCCGTCCCAGACCTTCACGACGAGCGAGCCCTGCGCTTTACTGATCTGCAGCGCGAATCTCAGGGCGGCGTACGCCAGTAACATTATGTTATCGTGGTCTATCTCCCGCATGCCGGACGCGTTCGGAGCCATGTCGGACAGGACAATGTCGACCTTGTCGCCGCGCAGCAGCTCGCTCAGAGTCTCCTGCGTCTTGGGTTTCGTGAAGTCCATGTTCCCCAGGATGGTCGCGCCTTCCACGGGGTAGAACGGCAGCCTGTCGACGGCGTACACCCTGCCGACGGGCGTGTCCACCTTCTTGCCGTGCGCGTTGGTCAGATTGGCGGCGACCTGCGTCCAGCTGCCGGGCGCCGCACCGCAGTCTATGACGGTCAAGCCTGGCTCGAGGACGCTGAATCTCTCGTTGATCTCCAGGAGCTTGAACGCGCTTCTGCACCGGTACTTCTCCTGCTTCGCCAGCTCCACGTAGGGATCGCGCAGCTGTCGCGCCAGCCACAGCTGCGAGCTGTGCTTCTTGCCCTTGAGGTTTCGCGGGGTCTCCTTGAGCAACGCGCCGCCGGTGTGCACGCCTCTTGTCCGCAAGACGCTCCTGCAGAGAGAATTCATCTCGGGGATACTTGGTGAAAAGTGCGATCTAACCTGACTGAGCCGCGAAAGCTCGACGTCGGGACTCTTCTCGGTAATCAACGATCTGTTTGTCAGCAGAATAGGCGTCCGTATGTCCCCAGCGAATCGCTCGTGTATACATATTGCGCAATCAATCGAAGGATAAACGCGTGAGAGATAAACAGACGCGGCATCGCGAAACCAAGATCCTGGACGCGGCCATGTTGCCTCTCACGACTGTGCTGCCAACGTTGGTTGTCAGCTGATCAACGTCCGTCAGTTGGTATGACAGAAACTTGGCGCAGAGAGAAACCTGAGAGCGGTCACGCTGGCGTTTTACTTTTGATACCGTTTTCGGTCGACTGATTCCAGCGCCTTACGCCCATTTTCATTTATGGAACTATTTCGTTACACCCATTTTCAAGCACTGCCGATAAAGTCAGATCGAAGCAATCGCTATCAATGTTCAACTACAAACTGCGCGCGCGAAGCGCGCGTATTGTCATTTCTAGTTCAATTATAATATCGATGTTACTCGTACGGAAAGTTCCTTTTTTCTGGATCTTACGTCATTTATTCTACATGTCTCGCGATACTTTCAAGATACGTTTAACATAAATACATGCATAGTCACATGCATCTCGTATTTTTTGCGATTGATTTTCGCGATCACTATTTCACAACATGTTAAAGAAATTATTAATTGTTTAATTTCATCGCGGAATATAATTAAAATAAATATAACACAAAGTAAAATTTTTTTCTACAATATAGTTTATCAGTCAATTTTTATATTTAGCAGTTACACGTATAATTTATATTTCAGTATTTTACTTTTTATTCCATTGCCGTGTGTAAGTTTTATGATAAGGGCATACATATTTAGTGTAGACATCTGCGGGATGCGAAACGAAGAAGATTGGTTTTTGGTTCGTGTCGCTACGTCGATTTTTCGCCGAGTTATAGCGTTTTAAAAATCGGGCGCGCGCGCACCATTCATGAAAGAAGGCCGCGCGGGATTTACGCAAGTAGTATGCTGGCGTACTACGTCCCCAAAAAACTGGGATAAAAACATACGAGGCACATATGTTCGGTAGTAAACACCGCCGCGCCAGACACCGCGCGAGACGCCGCGTATACGCGCCGTCTGCTGCTTCTATCTCAGGATTAAGATCGCGAGTCGATATAATCGTAAATATCTTCGCACAGAAAAATCGTAGCAAGATGATCCTGGTCTCGTTGGAAAGCTAAGATTTCAACGCTTCTAACGAGATAAGAATCGCTTATGTCGGATCATTAGTTTACGAGATTTTATTATTTAATTACAAAAATAAAATTGATTTTGTCCCAAGATCAAAATCGCGAGTCGATATAATCGTCAATATCTCCGCAAAATCGTAGCAAGATGATCTTGGTCTCGTTGGAAAGCTAAGATTTCAGCGCTTCTAACGAGATAAGAATGACTTATCTCGGATCATTAGTTTATTATTATTGATAAATTCCGAGAAAATTGATTTTGTCCCAAGATCGAGATTGTGAATTAATCTTTCGATTGGATGAGCCTCTCTCACGTTGCGCATTAAGTAGCAAACCTAATTTATGTTTACTCAATATTTATTTTTCTAATTATACACATATGTAATTGCACGGTTTTTGTTGATAATCCCCTCCTCGGGTACTACCTTGTCGCGGTGGAGGGGCTTAAGTACCCCGAAGAGTTACTCTTTAAAAGTCAATCAGTGAATATTCACTGTTTTCAGTGATAATCCATTGATTGATTATAGAGAGTACATACTCTAAAGACGGGACAACCAAAGGTACCCATTGCTGCACTATTTGGGCCCGATTTTTCAATTTCTAATAAACTGTTGACCACAGTTTAATCGATTCTCTGTCTCTTCTTTATAGATAATAATATAGAAAAGCATAGAGAGTCGAGTAACTTTCATATATTAACAGTTAACCAGAAAATGATAAACCGGTGGATTATTACTGAAAATAACGAATCGATTCACTGTTTTCAGTGATAATCCATCGATTAACTTTTAGAGAGCACATTTATTAATTGATTCTGTTCATTTCAGCACGAACTTTCGAGGACTGACGAATAATTTCGCTATTATTTCGTCAGTTTAAACGAATCGCAACCGCGCGCGGCGATTCGTCGTGTCGCGTCGCGTTCGGGAGTGCCGTTTGTGTAATTGGACTAAAGACTTTCAAAGTGTAAAATCGCGCGAACGATCTTATATCCGTATTCATAGTTGTTCCTCAATTCTCAAGGTTAGTCTGTCTTTGTCTCGCTACTACGTTTTACCATACGCGAGACAAAGACAAACTACCCTTGAGAATTGAGGAACGACTATGAATACGGATATTAGTGTTTTCGCGAGTGTGCAAGAAGACAACCTGAGTGGAGGGGGAGGCCTGGGGAAGGCATCAGGCACCGGCGGAGCAACTTTAGGGTAAATATTGTTTATTTTGTATAAATTTAACCTTCCTCTTGTTTATTTTCAATAATTTAAAAATTATTTTCTTCAATATTCATTTTCTTAAATCTGTTTTAATGTGAACTATCTAATTGTATGTTACAGAATCAACATAGTTAAACTCCGCTGCTGCGCATCGGGTCGGTAAGTCAGAAACTTTTTTATTATGGCAACGGATATACACACTGTAAAAAAATTATATGTAAAATTACAAATATTATAGTGAGTAATGTTGGGACCATCTATTTCAGTAAATTTACTCGTAAGTAAAATTATTACCTTATATAATAAGTAAACTGCTTGCTTTTGATTGTGTCAATTTTACATTCTTTTGTAATTTTTCATCATGTGTAAACGAGTATTTACACAACAAAGAGTAAAAAATTTTTTTTGTAAAAGTACATACATTTATATAATTCCGTTATTAATAGTGTAATCGCTACACTTAATATGTATGTAATTTTACATACTTTTTTTACAGTGCATCTCGTAGATCATAGATTGTAGATCGTAGATTATTTTGTATATTTGTTGCCATAAAATGGATAGGTTTCAAATGCTAACGGCAAGTAAATTTTTTATTTACTGTGTTGAATCTCCGGAGAGGAATAATTTCACAGACCTACAAACCAGAGTATGTCAAGCTCATTTTCCATGTTGAAAATCGTTGAATTACATTACAGAACTTACGCGAAATATGGCGAATATTAATAATGTATTCGTCGAGCTAATTGTAGCCTATCCATTTTCATTAACGAGTTGATGTATATAGTAAAATAATATGACGTGAGATTCTAATATATTTTGTCAAGAACACTGAAATTTTTAACTTATTTAAATATTTTATTTGCGGTTATTAATTTATTATAATATGCAATTATAATATCGGTTGGAATCGTGAAAGAAGTTTCGTTTTTCTGGATCTCACATCATTTATTCTTTATATGTATGTGTATATGTATGTACATACGTGATATACGTATAGTTTCAAGATGCGTCTCGCATGAATAAGATGCATTATAGTCACACGCATCTTTGTATTTTCGCGGTCGGTTTTCGCGATCGGTTTTTCAGGAAAAATTTTCAATAAATTATTAATTATTTAATTTTATCCATATTATAAATTTTTATTTATCGAGGAATATGATTAAAATCACTCCAACGCAAAGTAATTTTTTTTCTATATCTACGTGACTTTCGAATTCAAAGATCAAGTTATGAAGAGATGGTCAATATTTTTAAACAAATAACGGAAGTAAAAATAAATTTGATTCGTATATACAGTAAAGTTTTTTGAATTAATATTCTTCTTTAATTAGCCTCTCGTGGTCGTGCATTTTGCGATACGATCGACACTCGTATATTCGAACCGTACGAAATATTTGTCGGTGACGATAACCGACTATGGAAGGAGTTTTCTTCCTTCCTGATCTCTGGTCAAAATGACCAGATTGTATGGCCGGGAGCAACGAAAGGTAGGTCCAATCTGGCCCAACGAAGGACTAAATACGACGAGGTAAGTGGTCAATATTGGCCACTCTGATGGAGTACCTAAGTAAGGTGCTGTACGAAGTATACTTTGATTTCTTTTGATTTGTTACAATTCGGGTGGGTTATGCTTCTATATACATACATTCTCGCATATGTGCGAGAGTGAAACCCCTATTAAATTCCGCGGGCGCGTTAAACTCCAAATGAAGCCCCTAAAAAATCGCGTCGCGGTTAATTAAAAATTTGTAGGTTCATTATGTTGAAACACGGGTAGGTAGATCTAGGTATAAATCGGAATACGGGTAGGTAGGGATCAAAATCGGCGGGGGTGGTGGAGGGTCTCTACAAGTTTGTCTGTTTTTATCGGATAAAAATTTAATTCAAATCTAAAAGAGAAGCATTATTTTATTCACAACCAGAAAATGCAAAGTTATAATAAAATATATAGAAAACTAAGCTTATCGAGAACAATCTACTATAAATTTTGTTGGCAAAAGGAGTACAACGTAGCTTGTGAGCAAATTTTTATATTTTGCAATTATACAATTTATATGTCAGCAACGAAAGAATGTGAATCGCCAGTAGTTGATTAACGATAAAAAGAATTGTTAGATGACATGCGTGAAAAACCGCAACTTTATCGTTACGGGTTCCATTATTTGCAATTGTAGAAAGAAAAGCACTCAGTGCCTCGGTGCCTCGAATAACGAGCGCACATACAATGCGTATGTATGTATGTATGTGCACATATGCCGGAGAAATGCTCAGCGCGCGCACACATGCGCATGCACGTCGTAGTGGGCTAGCGCTAGAGCGGCACGCTCGCAGCGGCTTGCGGCAGGGAAGAGTCGCGGACCGGCGGCGCGAGCGCGAGACGCACGTCTGGACTCTGGAGTCCCCCGGATGTTTTCGCCGAAGGAGCGCGATCCACGATGAACCTCACCGCGGGCAACGCGCACGGCAACGGCCTGCTCTACGCCGGCTTCAACCAGGACCAAGGTACGTACGCTCGCGCGCCCGACGGCGCGTCAACGTCCGTCGGCTGTCAGCTCCGTCTCGCTCGGCCGCGTTCTAACCTAGCCGAGCCACCCGCGGCTCGTTCGCGGCGGGCGTCACCGCTGGACGCTACGGAGTACGGTTACGCGAGCCCGCGAGCCACGCTCGGCGACGGCCGTTCCTAACCTAGCGCGCCTGGAACGGAGGACCGCCGCGGTCTCGCTGACCCCTCGGCCGAGGAACGTCGGCGACCCGTATTCGTAGATTCCGTCTCGATTGGAGCATTCTCGAGTCTCGCACGATTTCCGCGAGAAGCTGCGGTGAAGGAACGAAACGTAGGTTCGAGTCTCCCTTTCGTTTCCTTACGTCCCGTCCCGATGCGCTTGAAGTGAACTCGCGCGATATCGCGTCTCCATACGCGAGTTTATCTCTGGTCCAGTCATCCGCGTGTGTATGTGGTACTATAAATATACGCGATAGTCGATTAATTGCCAAGGAAAGGAATGTGCGTACGGCAGATAAAGCTGTATCGCTAGCGTTCACGCATTTGCAGGATGTTTCGCCTGTGGCATGGAGAACGGGTTCCGTGTCTACAACTGCGACCCACTGAAGGAGAAGGAGAGGCAAGATTTCAGCGACGGAGGCCTCGGATACGTGGAGATGCTCTTCAGGTGCAATTATCTGGCGTTGGTTGGCGGCGGAGCCAAGCCGATGTATCCGACGAACAAAGGTTTCCTTTTACCTTCTGCGTACGCGCTATAAATATTATGATGCCCGTGGCTTATACTTTGTGATTGCAGTCATGATATGGGACGATATAAAGAAATTGCCAGCGATCACCCTAGAGTTCAATGCGCCCGTGAAAGGGGTCAAGCTGCGGAGAGACAGGATAGTGGTAGTGCTGGAGGGTGTTATAAAGGTTTATACGTTTACACAGAATCCGCAACAGTTGCACGTATTTGAGACTAATCCCAATCCGCGAGGGTTGTGCGTTCTGTGCCCGAACAGCAACAACTCCCTACTCGCCTTTCCTGGACGAAAGAACGGTCACGTTCAAGGTGAGGATTTCTATCGGGGATACTGCGATCGACGCGTCTTGCGCATGAAGCACATCGCGTAACACCAACGACTTGCATTTCAGTTATAGATCTGGCTAATACGGAGAAGCAACCCTTAAATATAGAAGCCCACGAAACGCCTTTATCTTGCATAGCTTTAAATCTGCAGGGCACCAGATTGGCCACTGCCTCGGAGAAAGGCACTTTGATAAGAGTGTTCGATACGCAAAATGGTAATATGATTAACGAATTGAGGAGAGGAGCGAATCACGCAAATATCTATTGGTAAGCGCTGTAAAAAGAAGGGAATTCGACGATGGCGCGTGGCGCGCAAAAATGAATTAACCGACACACGTTTTGCTTCAGCATAAACTTCAATCACGATTCAACGTGGCTGTGCGTTGCCAGCGATCACGGCACCGTACACGTATTCGCCGTCGAGGATCAAAAACTGAATCGCCAATCTAGCTTAGCGTCCGCCACGTTTCTGCCAAAGTACTTTAGCTCGAGTTGGAGTTTCTGCAAGTTTCAAGTGCCGGGCGGTCCCCAGTGCATGTGCGCGTTTGGCCAAGATAACAATAGCATCATAGGTAAGCGACATCCTGTCAATTAGATGCGAATTAAACAGAAAACCGTTGCTCCGTTCAAACTTCTCACGTTTACGATCCCTTATGCAGTGATATGCGCAGACGGTAGTTATTACAAGTTCGTGTTCAACAACAAGGGTGAGTGCACGAGAGACTTTTACGCGCAGTTTCTCGAGTTGACCGACGACAAAGCGTGATTGGAGGATACATAGCCGGCGGTGAACTCCTAACCGCGAGAGATGACTTTCGTGTTCCTTCATTTTCACTCATTTCGGCCGAGTAAAAGAACGAGCGGGTACGGCTCGCAGGTACATCGCATACATGGATTGCAACACTCGAGCTGTTTAGGGGAAATAACGTTCGTACCAAACGTTACGATAGAGGACCAAATGAAGAGTTCTATTAACTGTTGGTGATATATCGTTCGTTGGTGTATTGTGCGCGGATATTCGGAAAAAAGAAAAGAAAGATTGACAAATTGATGAAAAGACGAGGAATATCTTAACGGAGATTGTGTCATAAACTTGTTACACGAGCCTATTCGCTGACGCCTATTGATAGAGAAGAGCAAATTTTTAAATATAACAAACAGAAGGAATATTTCCCCAGGTAATAACAGGGGACATCGCGAGTTACTTGTTGGCGTGATACTCACGTTTTCTTACATTTTAGAGAATAAGAATGCTGCTGCAGCTAACTAAAGCGAACGTTGGCCATTAATCATCCTTGTGGCAGAAAGCAAATAATCATTTCGCGTAGCTTCGCGGTGAGCGCTTCGCAATGCAATCGTGTATCCCTATTGAACATGTGTTTTGTAGCTCCTCAAATCTTTTCGTTTATATATAAATGCATTGCTGTGCATAAAAGCGATATACATACGCCCCCTACTCTTTGACGATTTTGAATAGATTGTTATTATAGTCGCATTCGTTTTCTTGGAGATTCATTGAACACGTCTTCGTTTCATAGACGAATCATATCGTATACCACGTCATACACATATATATATATATATCGTACTGAAGTATTGTAATTTTTATTTTTACGTTTTTTTCCATATATTTAATATACATATACACAAGAGATTCTACACTTTATATCACACGGATATTGCCGCAGATAAACGAGGTTGTAATTTCACAAACAAAGTTGGGTTTAAGTACGAAATAAAACTGATTATGCCACGACCCGGAGTCCTGCCCCGCCCTATTTCTCTCTAATAAATTAGTCTACAATTCACGTACATACAACGTTTTCGATGTCGTCGATCTACCGACCGCAAATTATCCGAGAAGATAACTCACTCGCTTAAAAAAGAAAAATTTAATTCAGTCTTGCGCGTGAAGGGAAGTGCACACTCGCAGAGAGAAAGACAGATTACTCTTGGAATCGTGATACTTTTTAACCGTCAGAATTCTGACGAGTGGAAATCCAGAATTTCCAACGCATGTGTGTCGCATGTAAGCGTACGGTGGACATCCAGTTTTTTTTATTCAACGACCTAAACACTAGTATCTGTGCGTCGCATTGAAGAACCGTCTTAACGCACGAACGTAAAGGAGCATGCGTGAACGTTTAACGAGGCATTGAACAATGTAACGAGGAGAAACGTTTAAATATGAGAAGCGCGCTGCTTGCGGGTCCTCTTGAGCTTTACACAGTAAGATCTTTTCGTTTATCCCATCCTACGTGCGATACACTTCTTAGTACAAAATCTCTCGTCTGCTATCAATTTTTCATTTTCGAGATAATGCACTTTTATTTCACGTTTTTGCACCTCTAAATTGCCGTCCCAATTTCCGGACTTGTCCGAAAGTACATGTTTTTTTCCCCACAAAATGCATCTACGCTCGTCGCGATCGAATCTTGCGGTTTCCGCAACGCCACGAGGACTTTTCCGTCCTCGACGAATAAATTCTCCATTGTTATCTCATGAGTTTTTTTTTAAAGTTCGTAGGGTTTATTCACCGAGACCTGGATCGCCTTCGGTACCTCCGGCGGTACGGGCACTGCGTACTTTTTCTTCATACTGTGTATCTCGTGCGTAAGCCCTTTCTTCGTCTCGAGGCTCTTATAAGTGCTGTACACCACGAACCAGACGTAAAAGCTCATGATTATCAGGAAAAAGCCGATTAGACCTGAAAATAGTACGCAATCTCTTAATAAAAGTAACGATCAATATTTTATATGATAAAATTCTAAACTTTAACTTACGTTCGCAAATACCAGCTCGTCCGCCTAGAGTAGCGAGGAAAGGGCAATCCTCCTCTACCAGGAACAGTGAGATCGCTAGGGCTGATATAATAGTGATCTTGACCATCATCCAAGGTGCCATAAAATGACGATTGTTCTAAAAATAGAGTATCGTTAGATTAGTAGATGAAAAGGGCCTTAATCTTTTTGATTATCCTTTCAAGCGATTTCGTTTACCGTCAGAGCCCCGTAGAGAAGAAACACGGTAGAGATGAAGTGGATAACCGTGATGACGAGGCCGCAGTACATCGCGTACACCATTTCTGCAAATGCACAAAAATACCTTTTCGAAACTTATACGTCACAAGAGGGATAGTTTTTCTCTCTTTTTTTTTGCGTGCATGATTTTTGTGTGAATGCAAAGATTAATAACCGTTTGCGTTGTTATGCGCGAGATCCATCTTTTTCGTATTGAGATGATTGGACGATATCTCCTCCAGGGCCTCCCTTTCGAGGGCGTCTTCGGTGTCTCTCACCACCATTTCTTGAATCCCCACTGCGTGCGCCAGAGCCAGAATGAAGAATATCATACTGAATCCGGACGAAAACTGCGACATTTATTTGACATAAATTATATACTCAGTTTAAGATCAATTGCTCGAAATAGATTTCACAGAGGTTCCTGTTACCAATTGGAATATGGCGATTAGTATCGTGCCCTGCCGCAGGTTGAAATAGTGCAGGAAGTTCTTCAACAGTCCGATCTTCATCTTGGCTTCTGAGAATTAACGTAGATCACACTAGTTCTTCAAGCTCTTCTGAAAGGATAGTCAATTATTTCCCACAATTCATAAATATGGCAATTGACGCGTTATTACAACTTAGTCAAATCATTCTAATCTAAGAGATACAGGTTGTCAAATAATAAAGTAGGTTTCCGAAGCAGCGAGTTTGTAATGTACTAGAAATCGCGCGGACGTCTTTTCTTTATAAAATAAAATAGCGCGACGAGAACACATCGGATCACGTTCCCGAGCTCGACAATTTAACCGATTATCAGGCCACCCCTTGGCAACCCTCCGTGCGACGCGCGGCGTCGGGACGCACCTTAAAGCAATCGAAGTCGCAGCGGTGACGAAAGTAGGTGAAACGCACGTCGCCGTTCACCCTCGCGGCAGGTGTGCTCCGAACCACCACCGCCGCAGGTGTGCTCGACGAACCACCACCGTCCGCGGCTCCGCGATAGGAATCAATAACTTCTTCCGTGACACACACCGCGACGACGGGACGCTGGGGTTCGGCGGTCCGCGGGTTCGGCGGCTTCCGTTGTCCCGGGTTATCGGCGACGAGTCTTCTCGCTCTCGCGAAACCCCGTGGCGGTCGCGGACGGGGGCGAGAAAATGTGGCGGAAAAAATAGCGCGTCTCGGGGTCGATCTCGCCGGGGCGCTTGCGACGCGCAGAACGCGAGGGTGGCTTCTTCGTGGCTCCGAGGAGGGGTTGAGGACGGCCGCGCACGCGCCACCGCATCACTCGGGGTGCATCCGTTCCGGACTGACCGTTTGGTCATTTACGCGCGTTGCGTTTGCCTTTAATCGCATGACTTGTCGCGATCGTGATTCTTTTTAAATCGAACCTGCCGATTTAATTAGGTCCGATCAGCAGACTTCGAAGCCTCGATAGTTGGCAATGGTTTTATTTTTCACTTCTATTCTTTGTAACGATTAACTGAACGTGAACGCATCTAATTTAAAGATTAGGTATATTCAGGGTTGGGAAAGTTACTTTATAAAAGTATCTAGTTACAGTCACAAGTTACCAATTCTGAAAAGTAACGCGTTACAATTACTCAAAAAGTAATGAATCGTTATTTTGCAGTTAGTTGCTTACAATGAAATTAAAAATATCAAACTCTGTATTTGAATTGTAAAGCACCGATAAAGGCGTTTATGCACAAATGCAAGACCTAGCGCGATCTATGGAAGTTTAAAAAATATATAAAGTAACTATTATAATGTAACTAAGTTAAGTTACAGTTACAGACAAAGAGAAAGTAACGAAGTTAAGTTGAAGTCACCAAAAAACAGTAGCTATAACTGTAACTTCGATACTAGTAACGAGTTCACTTCCCAACCCTGGGTATATTATAAAAAGATTAATTTGAAGAACATTGTTCGAGTGTCGAGATAATCGCGTTTTCAAAAACAGAGCTGGAAGGAAAGATAGAGTAGGTTGCGACAAAGTAAATGTTCTTATCTGACTTATATTTGAAATTTAAGAGCACTAGATATTTTACAATAAAAAAGACATTAATATAACAAAGAAATTCAACATGCAAGAGGATTCCGAATTTGTTATTGTCCTAAAATATCCGGATCCAGATATAAAAGTTATAAATCCGAAATTTCAACATAAAAAGATTTATCCCAAAAAATCTAAAAGTGCAGCAATTATAATAGTCGCATAATTTCCATTCTTTTTGAATTTCCAAATTTGTGCGAATTCGAGCGAGTTTCGATTGCGGATTTGCGAACCGCTGCAGAAATTATCAGACCCACTCGCGGGTCTGACACTAATGGCCTGCGATTTCGATCTAATCTGAAAGTTAGTTCGATCGAGTTGAGTCATCTTTCCAAGTAGTCATAGAAACGCGACGTCGCGTCCCGGAATAGTAGATTACGAGGGGGTTGAATCCGTTGAATGCGTGATTGTCGCTTTTGGCGAGCCGCAAGGGCCGCAACGCTCGGGACAGTCCGTTTTGCAATTAGCGTGCGATCGCGCACGTCGCTCGGAGGGAATTCGCGATTTTGGAACCGATGGAGCGAAAGTATCAGAGGGTCGGTTTGGGGGTAGGCGCGTTTCACAATCCCCCGAGAGCGAAATACAGCGAGGAAACGAAAAATCTCATTAGGCGTAAGTAAATAGTAACCAATATTTTCGACGCGTGTTAAATATATGGATACAAAGTAATAAAGGATATATAGTAAGAGTCACTACGGATTTGTTAGTGTTTCGTTAATGTTTCGCAATAAATTAAAAAATTAAAATTATTTAGACACTAACGTCCGTCTTGGCTCTTATATCCTTTATTTCTTCGTATCTGTGATTTCACATCAGAGCCCTATGAATTTTATTTAAATATATATCGAGCTTTTCGTAAAAAAGAAATCCAAATTGCTGTCCTGTCCAATTCTTAACGTCTGATAAATATTAAATGTTAGTGTTAATGGAGGAATCCAAGCTAACGATGCTGCAGAGGAAAACGATCCAGGAAGCGGTAGACAAGGGTGAGTCCTTGCCGCCTTCCATCGACAGGACAAAAAGAGCGAAAGATAAAGCTGAAGACTATCAAGTAAATATCGCAACGTAGAGAGCTCTGTGGAAATGAATTTCAAGATAATATTCTCTAGCATTTTTCGTTAGGTTAAATTTCCCAGTGCCTGGAGGAGGCGTTCGCAGGATACAATTATAAGCAGCGGCGCCTACGAGAGGGAACAGTACAGGAGGACAGCGCCCTTACGTAATGATTAGAAATAATTGCAATACTTTTCTTCGAGATAGTAACCGAAAATATAAAACGCGCATCATTGAATGGCATGAATTTCACGCAAATTAGCCAACAAGGAGAAACAAAAACGTCACTTGGCGTGCATGATGGCTTATGGGAGGGACATGCCGGAGACTCCTCACGGTCCCAAAATCCTTCACAGGGCTAAACGAGAGCCGAAAATAGCGGAGAACGCGGATGTTCTGAGTGACTGTAAGTTACCACAGTCTCTCGCCTACCTACGTGGTGGCGTATGAAATCGTAGGACCTTTCGTTGGAAAAATTCTATTTTTCTCGAAAAGTTGTCAGTATTTACGACAATCGTACAAGCTGCGGGGCATCTTAAAATAGAGTTTTGTAATGCGCGTTTCTTGAAAACTGGGTGTCGTGACAAAAAATTACGTCGTTCTGCTTCTCATAGTGGTTCGAGGGATCCGCGAGAGAATGGATTTCTTGCGCGACATGGAAAGTCTCAGAATGGGGAAGAAGTATCGGCCCATAATACAGCAGGAGATAGCGCAGAAAATACGGCTGATCGAGTCGCTGGACAGCCAAACGTCCAACGAGCTGCGAAAAGAGATTTGTCGACTCGAGCACGAAGACAGACCGTCGTCGAAATTGTTTCCGCTGACTGAACCAGGGGAGAATTGAATTCCCTTTTTCATTAATGTAATCTATACTTGAATTACGTGGAGTAGATCGGATTGTGTGTATCAAGTATCAGTCAATATTTCTATCATATTTCAATCGTCGGATGAGCCACAAATAAATTCTACAAACACGAACGTAAAAGATTATGTCAACCAATATGATTCAATTGCCTGATCGTAAGTAAATTGTTTGTAGTATTAGATTTATAATTTTATTCCGTAAAATATCATCTTCATATTTGATGTGAATTTTTTAAAAAGATACATGCCAATTTCATCAAGAGATTCATTTTTTTCTTCTTCCTTTTTATTTTTTTTTATATTTTACACATATTGTTATCATTGTGCTCTTATTTACATCCAGAAACACTCTTTATATGGTTAATTATATAGATAATTTATTAATTTATTAATTTGACTCGTGGTATACCAATATATGTAGTTTCCAGCTACTGTAAAGTTGATCTTATTTTAAGAAATCGAAAGTTTTATTAACAGTTTTGTTTGTACACTTGAAATCACTGATGCCTTCCCGTAAGAATTTAGGCACAGGTAGATACATATACATTTTCCATATATGCAGGGTTGGAAAAGTTACCTTATAAAAGTATCTATTAGTTACAGTTACAAGTTACCAATTCTGAAAAGTAACGCGTTACAGTTACAGTAACTCAAAAAGTAACGAATCGTTGCTTTGCAATTACTTTCTTGCAATGAAAATAAAAATCTTAAATCTGCATTTGAATCGAAAGGTGTTTGTGCGCAAATGCAAGGCTTACTGCAATTCTGCGATTTCGGAATAAAAATAATCTTTGTATCTCGATAGATTCATTAATTTCGTTCGTGCATGGTACAAACGGTTTTTACATTCTTGCAGAGCTCTCTTCGACTTTGAAATATCAAAATAATAAACCTATCGGATTACCGTCGAGCAGAATGGCTGTTATTGTGCGTTACCTCAAGACAAAGACGTAAAGCATAAAACATTATCTTAAGACTGTCTTAAGAGTATAAAACAGCCATTCTGCCCAGGCCCTAAAGTTTCCATAAAACTGTCGCTTCCTGATTAAGAGTGCAAAAGAAAAGAAAACAAGGAGGATACATTAATGAAGCGCACGCGTGCCACGGCACGCGTTTACTCTCGCGCTTCATACGCGTAAACGTAAACATCGCAGCGTGCTCCGTAAAGTTAACGCTCGGCGCGTCGCTTCGCGCGGACTCCGCGGCGGGACGCCGCGATCGCGCGAGCACGAGGATCGGCGTCCCGTCCGTCGCCGTCGCCGCCGACGCCAGTCTTCCGCCGCGCGGCGACAGCGTGTGTTGTGTGGGTGTCTTTTTTTTATAGCACGCGCGTTCCGTCACCGCAGTTGACGTGTCGCAACGTCGTACACGTTTGCGAGTGCCGCGAGTGCGTGCGACCTGATCGCGAGGAACCGTTCGCGCTCGCGCGACCGGAACTCCAGTCTCGAGCACCGATCGACCCGGCGATCGACGACGGCTGACGGATTTTTTTCTCCCCTTTCTATCTCTGTCTCTCTTCACCGCCGATCGCATCCGACGCCGCGAGTGATCCACGGATGATCCACGGATGATCCACGGGTGATCCACGGGTGATCCAACATGGCGTCGACCGATCTGTCGTTCGGTAAATGATGAACCTCTCCGAGATGCTCGTAACAGTCTTCGTGACAAGGTCTCCCGCGAGGTCAACCGGTTCTCCCGTCGCCGAGCGTCGCTCCGCGTCGCTCCGCGTCGCGTCGCGTCGCGAAAACGCGGTCGCTCCCTTCTCTCTGTCCTTCCCCCCCTCCCCCCGGATGTCCCGATCTCCTTATCAATGCGAGCGCAATGAGAATACGGGACACGTCGGGGCGGACGTCTCTCGTTTGCCTTCCGCTCGCCGGCAGACGCAGCTTCTCCTCCCTCCTTCTCTCTTTCTCCCTCTCGCGTCTCGTCTTCTCGCTCCCAGCGAGGAGGATCCGGGATGCGGTAATCAGCTGATCTTTAGAACGCCTTGACATCCGCGATGCGATCGCGCGGCCCGGCCGGTTGGCCACGACGACAATAACGGTAACAATCACCGTCCGATTTCCGCATTCCGAAACCGAGTTTCGGATTTTCACGGGGCGCGAATCGATCGAATCGGGGTGTACCATATTATCGAGCGCTGGCGTTAAAAGCGAAGTTCGGGATTTTAGCGTGCTCGTGTTAACGCGACGCTAATGACACGCGAGACGTTTCACAATCGCTTCGGGGATGACTTCACCTCGACAGCTTCACTCCTGACCGCTCTTACTTTTCTGCGCGGCGCGCAATTTCGAAAAGTGTAGAACTCGCTGACCAGCACTTGGCTAAATTCCAGAATTGATCAGAATCGTCGCTCCGACAAAATCTGAATAATTCTAAGCCAACGTCGTAATTTAATGATAAAAAAGATTCCGCACGATCGCGCGGGTTTGCGTAAGTAATTTGAAGCGCGAACGGAGAACGCCGAGACGTCGGGACGCCGCGAGGAAAATCCAGCGCGTTACGATTCCCGTAAGGAGCGATTTCGCGTAAGAAACGCGGGGAAAGTCACTTCGGGCTCCCTTTAACGAAAGCGCACGCTCGTTCGCGGGACGACCGAGCCGATACGAACGCGTGCACGTACGTACCCCGGCATTTCGTCACGCGCGACCGACGAGAGCGGTCGCGGATAGAGCGGAGCGGATAGAGCCGCGCTAGGAACGCCGCTCTCGAAGGCCTCGTTGCAGCGGTCGAGCGTGCGAGCGAGCGGGACTCCGTCGGGGAGACCTTGTCTCTTTCTCTCTTTCTCACTGTCTCTCACGTTTCTCTCCCGCACGAATCCCAGGCTCCATACCGGCGTTCTACAGAGAAGTCTACGAGAAGGTCTGCTCGCCCACCAGCGGAAACGTGAAGCTCGAGGTATTTAGGTCCCTGCTGGTCAAGTCGCAGCTAACCGGGTCCGTCATCAATCAGGTACGGCCCTTCTACTTTATCCCATTCCAGTTTGTCAAGGGTGACTTTTGATGCTCGACAGACCGGTTAGGGCAAATTCTTTCCCGCTCCCGATGGCTGTCGGTCCAAATATTTAAACGCAATGAGCCGTAGATTCTCTACCTCCGACTTATCGGTCACGGGACGAATGTACAATTCTCTTACACGCTCTACAGGGTGTCCCAGAAGGAAAGGTTAATATTCTGGCAGGTCATAGTATCGGTCATTTTAAGCAAAAATGTTCATATGAACGTATGTCCCATTCCCCACTGTTTCCGAGACAGAACTATTTGAATGTAATAACAGTTGCAAAATTACTGACAATAAAGAAATACCACGTACTACTTTTAACGAGGGGGAAACCGCCGAGGGCATTGCGGTGCACAAATTTACGGCATTACTGGACATTATTAGGCATTTTGGGGGCATTAGGCCTTGCTGGGACATTACAAGGATAAAATGAGATAAAATAAGGTACAATAGGATAATAAGATAAAGTAATGCCCACTGGGCATTAGTGGGCGCATTGGTGTACAAGATTTTGGTCAGCGGTTTCCCCCTCGGAATTTTCTTTGGAAATTTACCCTGAAAATCATGTAATCGTGGGACAATATGGAATTTTTTGAAGAAGAAGATAAATTTTAAGAGACAATTTTCTCCGTGCAGGCATTTTTTGGGCCATTAGTGGGTGTTATTTGGCCTTGCTGGGGCATCATAAAAATCTAAAAAGATAAAACAAGATAAAATACGATGAGGTAACGCCCACTGGTCATTAGTCGGCATCGGTGTACATGGTTTTGGTCAGCAGTTTACCCCCTCGATTTCTAACATTTATTGTTCACAATTCACAATTCTAATATTTATCGTTGACAATTCTGCGTGTAGGAAAGCGTCGACGGTATTCTTCAACAGCAGCAGTAGCACATCACAGGAACCGTAAACTTACAGCGTATCTGCATATTCGACATTTGTGAATATGCGAGGCATGTTGAACATATCTACAATGTTATCGGCACAACAGTCAACAGACGTATAAGAGTAACTTCCCGCAGACGTTTATGAGGCTTGGATAGAGAGTGAAGTGTAGAGGAAAAAGTAAATACACGAGACATTCGAGTAGCTCTACCTCGGAAACAGTGGGGAATGGGACATATATTCATATCAACATTTTGCTTGAAATGATCGATACTATCACCTCCCAGAATATTGATCTTTCTCCCTGGAACACCCTGTATAAATTTTGCTTCTCGCAAACTACCTAATTCTACGTTTTAACGCTCCGATCTTACAAAGCAACGTGATTAATTTATAATTTCATCAATTTTCTCGGTTTTTTTGGAGTTAGTTACCTTCCTAAACACCGCAAACATATATCTAAAAGACATCTTTAAGACGTCTATGTATGTCTAAAAGACGACTCAAAGATGTCTTTTAGACATGCTGTATGGGTTAGTTCTCGAGAGATTCGTGTGAGGCTTGATTCTCTACTAATTACGGTAAAAATGTCATTTATTTCCTTATCTCGCGAATCCGTCGAGAAATAAACTGAACGCGGTGGAAGGCGTTCCGTTGGACTGTTACAAAGAAATACATTACACCGTGGAGTAAACCCGATAGCGAGTTTAAACGCGGCCGGCCGTGTTCTCGCGGGTTTCAGTTTCTAACGTATCGCGCGACCTTTCCCAAGAGGAATTCACTTGTGTTATGTTTGCAGCTCTATTGCGACTGCCGAAACATTTACCGAGATTTGTACTTTGCATATACCGTGAGAAGATACCGCGGTGAGAAGCCCGTTCTTCATATCTCTGCAGCAAAATATTTAGCTATCGCACCTAAATATTAGCGGTCCATATTTTACAAATGAAATTTAGTTGTCGCGTGCAGTTTCTAGCTACGGCAGCTACATTGGTTTTCCGTGTGCTTACTATGTAAATAGTTTTGATTAATTAATTTAAGGGGGTGTTGTTTTAACCGGTTAACACGTTCTCAACTGCAGGTCTAATATTAATTAATAGGCCTCCTGCTGCTACGATCCAGTGGAGCCATTATTATTGAAATTTATTAATCGGCAGCGAATATTTTATTATTCTTATTATTTTACTGTTTATCAGAACATGTGTAGGGTCAGAAGTCACCACCCATTCAACGGCAAACTAATACTTTATTGACATTATTTAGTAGGCTATATACATAATTATGAAAATGTTTTCTTTTTATTTTATTTTAAAGTTGCTTTCCTTCTTCAGTAAACATGTTTTGAACATGTAATATTTACACGATTAGAAACGAGATTATCTTGCAATTAGTACAATTTTAATAAGCACTAAAATAGTGAGTGATATTGGCCCACTTATATGTTTTTAATATGAGATAGCGGAGTTTCTGCTAAATTAATAGGCATCATCTATTGATTCCACCGTGAATTTATTGTCCTTGGAGTGAAATCTGTTTAGTGGAAAATTAATTGTTAGATCGTGTAATCGTTACGAAAAAAGATTTATGAGCCAATGTAGACATTAAAAACCTACTATCTCATATTAGAGAACTTTGCTCTACTACATACATATATAATATCTTTATTGACTCCCCTCGGGATTGCAAGGCACTTTTCGAGGGAGTGTTCACGAACCTTTTACACTTTGACTTTCCTCTACTATAAAAGTATAATTACATAGGGTGGGTCTATTATATGTATAAATGCTCATATATTATACTAATTTTCTTATTTGGTCGGAGAAACATTCGCAACAATATATCGATCTGCAACGCGTATCGATTTCATCCGCGGGCCACAAGTAAAATCTATATTTCTGCTGATATTTTACAGCTGACGAATTAACCTTCGACTATCGATTTCGACTGCCACATTAAACAAACAAACGGGCAGTGTTTTAATTTCTCAACACGCCAGAGTTTACGAAAGAGATTTATCGCGAACGATCAGTCTCGCTCTCGCACGACGAAGATTTTCTCCCGCGACTTTTCATCGTTCTTCAAATTATCGCCCGCGACGAACAAGAAAATTCAGTCCGATCCCCCTTATTCGACTTTCTACTCGGAGATAACCAGGCAATTCGGCTAAATGTACGCCAGAGCTCGTCTCCGCGAGCATGGCAAAGCGAGTACTTATCGTGCGGGAATAAGGTAATCGCAAAGTAGGAAAACGTCGATTGTGCCACAATTAAGTACGTATATCGGGGAAACGACGCTTACGTCAAGTGACGTCGGGAGGGAAGAAATTCTCGCGAACTAGCGTGTCGCTTATTCGAGCGGCGGAAAGGATAATTTGAGCCGATCTGCATAATCCGGTCCTCTGTAATCCCGTTAAGGCGCCCAGCGTTTTCCGTCTCGCGTCTTTTCGCGATTACGTCGCCGGAAAAACCGACGAGTGTCTGAGAACGCGTGGACCTCGTCGCGACTGACAGGATAATTCGCTGGATCTACGAAGAAGCGCTTCTCGTGTTTAGCGCGCTTACTCCGTCGAGGAAAATCTTGACGACCGTGCGTATATATCGTTTAAACGGCGATAGATGAGCCAATTGCTATTTCTAAGCATTACTGCTGTCGATGATATTTCACTTTTATCTAATGTACGTGCATATCATTAAATCGCGCCTCTCAACGCAGCACAGGAACTTGCGATAAATCGATTGATCTCTCGCAAGTATTCTTCTTCGTCATTTATGACTCATATTCATATCGTTTCGCGCGACGTTACCGCTAATCGTGCATGGTTTCGTTCCGGTGCGTCATCCAGTTTCGCCGTGGGGTAAACCGCTGACCAAAATCATGTACATACAAGTAAACCAATGCCTACTAATGCCCAGTGCACTGAGAAACCTGTCCGATTAAATATAATTGGATAATGCAATTGCGTAATAACAAACGGATATATCCGGTTAAATTTCAACATCCGATGAACAATGCGATCGGTTTTTCAATCAAATTTCATCGGTAACTGCATTTCAGCGGAAAAATTTCATCTTATTTTATCTTATTTTATCTTTATAATGCCAGCAAGGCCTAATGCCCAAAAAAATGCCTAGCAATGCCCAGTAACGCCGCAAATTTGTACACGACAATGCCCTCAGCGATTTTCCCCTCGAAGAATTCTCTCCGTGTAGCAATGCCCGAAATCTGTACACCACGATGCCCTCAGCGGTTTATCCCTCGAGCTTCGCCTAACGACATGTCGTCAGGTTCCAGGTGTCCGAAGCTTGCATTCAATGTTCGCGCGGTGATCGAGAGAAGTTATTCTTCAGGCGGTTATTTTTCTAACTGTCGCGTTATGTAATTCCGTCCCGATGACGCGAACCGATTACGTCGTTATCTCGCGCCGCAGTTCGGGACGTTCGTCCCGTTTCCGTCTCGCTCCTGCGAAAGTCGTCGTTGGTGCCGACTGTGCGTATCCCTAAATGCCGATTAAAATATTCCAGGCGCCGTATCGACGGAGTCTTATCATCTCCAACAACACGCCTGTCGATGATAGCGCGCACGGACGCCCCTTCATAATGATGCGAGATTACGTGGCAGGGTCAATTGTACCGTCGTGTTTGCACTCTGCCGCTCGCAACAACGTCACAGACGCGCTCCGGCGTGTGGCCTACTCACCTTTCATCCGTCCGTTTGCACGTCGCACACTCGGAATTCACGCGCGCGTATCTCGCGGAAAGTCACCGCGCTAATGGCATTGAACCGCGCGGGAGGACCGACTTGCGCGAAACGAAACATCTGATTTCTATCGCATAAAGCGCCAGATAAATCTCTGATGAATTTGAGGAATGAGTTTAAGTCGTTCTTGTGCAAAATCAGTTTAACGGAGCAACTTTTTTATCCCCGGCGTTACGTAATTTTCAGAATTTAAGGTCGCGGCTTAAACCTCCGTTAACGCGACTCGCTGAAAACTGCGTGAAAGAATATAATCGCATAAAAATTTTATCATCCACTTCTATCTTCCCGGAGTTAATTTATACATTTATACT